AAAGTTTTACTGAATGTGAGAATTAATATAATTATGTGAGGAATCCAATTCTTGAGACTTACAAATAACGGAGACTTGAAAATCATGTGATTGTGAGTACGTAGTATGTAAATGAATGTGTGTACATGAAATGTACGGGATATTTTGGGGATTCTGGGAATATATCTGTGTTTCTATCATTTTGTAATGGGCATGGCTAGTAATTTCCTGAAGCTAGCCAATAACCCCGTCATGAGTGAGCAACATCATTGTCAGGTTACAACTGAACCCCATCACCGATGACTCGTCCGAGACGGGCTCTAAAGTACCTTGTCAATGGTCACCAGTCACCTTTAACGGGTTAGAGTTGTAACCCATCACAATTGAGTCATCCGTGACAAGTTGTAATCTACTCGCTCGCGCGGGTGAACCATATCGATGACGGGTTGATATTGAAACTCGTTTAAGATGTATGACAACGGTGATGGTCGCTCGCCTGAAACATATGAGTTTTCACATCACTGATTACTTAGGCCCATTTCTTTTTTCCAACTTCAAACTTCAATTTCCTGGTTTCCATGAGCATGCTTTTCAAACTGTTAAATAATGTGTTTTTTGCAAAAAAAAAATTCTATGTAGAAGTTGTTTAAAAATTCAAATAAATCTATTTTTCAATTTTATAATTATTAATATTTAATTAATTATGTGCTATGCCATTGTGCTTTCTCATTTTGCGTGCGCTAAAAATTTCTATCCACACAAGCCAATCGAACACGCCTTATCGATGACCAAGCCCTCTGGCCTCTGCCGATATAGATGGGTGTCGGAACTCGATACAAATGATCGATTTTGCACTAGTGGGTATTTATCCGTAAATATAGATAATTTATAGTGTAAAATGCATGTTGTTGAACTTATCTTACTATTTTATAAAAGTTTGGCACCATAAATCAATCCAATTTGAGAAATAAATAACTATCTCGTTTTCTTTATATCTTTAGCTAATTTATGTTGGTTCCAATACAGTAGTTGCTTCTGCACTAAGAAAAAGAACATTTGACAGCTTGGAATCGATTTTGCCTGAAATTCGTGTGTTCCAAATGGCCCAAGAATTGATGGACTACATGAGTATTACTAGATTTCGTGTGTGGTTAAAATTAATTAATTAATTAAGTTGACCGCGGGGTAGCAACCGGTGGTGTCGTGGTAGAATAGTGGATGCATATATAACTCTTTTCACTCGTGTTTAAATCCTGGTGCCCATAAATATTGTGTGCATGCAAATTTTAATCGGAATTTAGTAAGAAAAGTCATACGTCGCTGGTTTCCATCTCTTTTGCCGTGTGTTAGGGGGGCAGGGGGCATTTGCGGGTGTATATATAAACGTGGTGTTGTATTTTCTAGTGGTGTGTATGTTTTCCGTGTAATTGAAAAAGAAACTACAGGCATTTATTAGCCAGAGTAAATATTAAGGTAAATGTCTTAGTTTTTAATTCAAACAAAAAAAGGTAAATCGCGAGTTGAGTGGTTATTAATGAATGCACCACTGGAATTAGTTTGATCGCGCAGTTAATCAAATAATAATAGGGTATAAAACATTCCAGCTAGTGAAAGTAACAGTTATAGAGCTGTGTTAAAAATTAAGCAATGGAATCAGACGCGTCAGCACAATCCGTTCATACACAAGCCTGGCGTGTCATATAGATGACCAAGAGACAAAGTGTACGTAGAAAATGTGTATCTTTCGACGTCAATCAGCAAATCGATCCATCAGGAAATCCAAAAGCAAACAAATTGTATTAAAGTGCGTCTTTGACCCTGTAATTTTTGCAGACCCTAGTCAACTCCCATTTCATTCTACTTGATTGATGCATTTTTTTTTCTTTTGCTGAATCAGCCATAATTAATTTATATTTCTTGTCGTACAGGAATGCGTGTGAATGTGGCTGCATGACTTGTGATTGCCCGTGACATCAATTTGTAAAGCTCAAGCCTTTTTTTTCCTTTCATCCGTTACACTGTCTCCGTCTCAAAATATATTAATTTATAACTATATATCCAAACATGCTTTTATTCATATTTATAGCTAAAAGTTGTTATATTTTGAGAAAGGGAAAAAATAATATTTATATGTTGAGGTTATGGTATTGTTAGCGCAAAAATTTGGTACGGTTTCTTAGTAAATTCAGTTAAGAAAAGAAACTGATTGGTAAATAAAAGTTTGTCTAGATAAAAACTGAATTTAATAAGGAGTTGTGAAGGTCATGGTAATGTAGTTTCGTATTTCCTCAGTATATCTCTTAAATAAGTAGGGTTAGTTTTTTTTATTAGGAAATCTTATCTCGTGTCCAATATGGACTTGTACCAACCCTAGGTATATGTACACATAAGGTCTCTATAATATCATCCATAGGTCAATACAATTATATTTCGGCGCATCACCAACCTTTCGACGGGTTCTTAATTTTCGATTAGGGCTGCATCGATTAAGTTCAATCTTAGGTGAGAAATTAAGTTCGACGTCTTGCTATCGAGTTGGGCTGCAACGGTTAAATTCGATCTCGAGCGAGGAAGTAAGTTCCATCAACTTCACTTGTATTAGCTTGGCTAGAACTTACTCAGCTAGATCCGGTATTCTAACTATGTTAATGCAAACATTGCCTATCAGATATACTATCTTGCTATCAAGTTGGGCTGCATCGGTTAAATTCGATCTCCAGCGAGGAAGTAAGTTCCGTCAATTTCGTTTGCATCAGCTTGGTTAGAATTTCATCGGTTAGGTCCGATATTCTAACTAAGTTGATGCAAGAATTGCCTATCAGATATATTGATTTTATCTTTAACTGCAACATTGTTTAGATTTGCATCGGCTTAGTTAGGACTTCCTTGATTAGGTATGACATTCTGACTAAGTTGATATTTTTCTCATCACACTGCTGTTTTAGATTGATCAATATATCCATATCTATTGGCTAAATAGATTTTTCTTATTATCTTCAATCTTGTACTGTGTCGGTTAGATCCGATCTATTAGATTATTGCTAATAAGTTTAATTCTAGTAAGCCAATAGATTTTTATACAACGTTCATCGGAGTTCTAGCTAACTAGTTATCATAATTGTGAGCTTCAGCTATCATATGTATTGTTTAGTTAGCTGATATACATTCAAAATCTGCAAGCGTCAGATTTTTTTGCCGATGTATGCTTCAACCATCGGATCTACATCTATCACTATATTAATATCGGTCGATTGGTTCATTGGTCATATTCTTTCTATCATATCTTTATATAATTGTTTATCTAATTGTTTGAATCCACCTTAGATCTATAGCTGATTAATCAAAACCCTATCAACATTGGCTAACCTCACTAAGTTGATGTTCGGCTCTCTAAGTTGATGGTCGGATTCTTGATCATCGACCTGTTTTCATCTTGTTAGTCGCATGATCAAACTAACTGGCATGTTCGAATCTCATCAAGATTTTAGGACCCGCAATCTCTTAGACCATTGTGTGTTGCGATATATTTTGCGTCAACAGGTAAAAAAAAGTACATTTTTCAAACTAGGAGTTAGCTACTAGATTCAGCTGCTATTTAATTAAAAAACAATTAATTAAAGTAAAATATTTTTTTATAAAAGTACATGTATGTTCTTTATAAGGTTTGCATGCTCACGGTATATATCTTACTCTGCGTACTTTTATAAAAAATATTTTACTTTAATTAATTGTTTTATAATTAATAGCAGCTGAATCTAGGTAGCTAACTCTAGTTTGAAAAATGTGCTTTTTTTGTTTTTGTTTATTCCATTTCTACTGCCGAGTCCAAGTCAGCGAGAGCCAGTAAGCTATATAACTTCAACACAAGCAGAATACACTTGATTATTACGATCAGTTCCACCAACTCTTCTTAATTATATAATTTCATACTACTATTGATCTCCTAAAAAGAAATAATATATAGTCCATACTACCACCAATGCAGTTATTGACTTGTAGAAACATACTATTCATGCACATATTTAGTGCTCCAAAAATATCTAACTAGCCAAAAAATAAATAAATGCATTAGTAGAAAATGAATATTCTTAAAAACCGACTTTTCGCAATGAGAAACATTTAAAAGAATTATAACCAACTTTCAGTAAAAAAAAACAGAGAGAGAACATGATAAACCCTAGCATGTACGATGGTTATTAATATGTGTCTCTTAATATTGCTAATTAGGTATATTGGCTGACATGGAAGAGAGAGAAAGTGAAGAGATAAAACATAATTGCTATGGGTAATGATGGTGTAACAACAAAGCCTCTGGAAAATGGTTGCATGAGAAAAAAAAAAGGAAATAATGACAATAAAATAATATTTTTAAGTTAATGATTAATTAGAGCATTTGTTGTCTCAACTATTGTAGAGACACGGTCTCTAAATAATTTTGTATTATCTAGGATATCATACTCGTCTATACCATAGAACATGCCCTTAATATCTTGCATATGCATGACAAATGGCAGAACCAAAGTTTGAACTAGTTGGTTAAGTTAATGAAGAGAAGGTTGGTAAATGTAGGGTCCGATCGATATGATATTTGTTTTATGAATGGAAGCGGTAGTACTATAATATTTGGAAAAAAAGTAATGCACGCATAAATTTTGGTTTGAACCTTTTTGAACAGAAAATTTTGGTTTAACAGCACAAATTAGTATAGTTATATATATGGGGAAATTCAATTCATTACACACCTCAAGGATTAATTATCCCTCATTTCACCCCCTTTAGGTATGCACGGTTTTCAAATCTTACACCGTACATGGATTAGGAACACAAATTAATATGATAAAATCCTGGACACAAACAGTTGTTATCATCCTAAGCAAGTGTCAACCCCATTTTGCTTCCTTTCCCACCTCCAGTTGCTAATTGACAATCAGCCCCTTCCAGGGCCACTACATCCAATTATATACACACCCTCCTTAGCATATGTACCCCACACCACCCTCTCACAGCACAGCAATTGCATAGCTTTCCAATTCCTTGACACTATAGAAAAAGGGGAGAAATGGGAGTATATATCAGTCTTGAAAACTAGTCAATGTAGTGGAATACTTGTCCATTTCTGCTCCTAAGCTCCTCCCCTTATTTTATCCCCCACATCATTAGCTCTTGCTTATGCTTCTTCCCCTCCCTTATTCTCCCATCACACTCTCCTCCTCTTCTTCCTCCCTGGTTCCTAACTCCTCTACCCCACATCATTCCAATCCTATCATGGTGGTGGTAGAGAAATATAGAGAGAGCTAGAAGGGGAAGAGAAGAGAGAAGATTTCTAGCTTAATTAGAAGGGTTGTTACTATGGGGGAGGTGAAGGAGAATGAGGTGGTAGAGATTTTTGAGCATGATCATGACAACAAGATCAGATCTCCTGAAAACTCTGTGCCACCAGCCATGGTGCTGGACCTCAACGAGGGCTTCGGCGAGGGCAGCGAGGAAGGGGGAGTTGGCGAAGACGGAGATGAAGAAGACGATGATGAGGACGACGACGACGACGACGATGACGATGGCGGTAGCACAAGCGAAGTTGCCGGAGGAGGGAGGAGCTCCAGCAACAACAGCAGCACCAACCACAATTCCGGGAGCGACAAGGACCATGACATGAACAGCAGCAGCAGCAAGGCCGACGGCGGCGGCGACAGGGTGCCGACGGTGCGGCAGTACAACCGGTCTAAGCTCCCCCGGCTCCGGTGGACGCCCGACCTCCACATGGCGTTCGTCCACGCCGTCGAGAGGTTGGGCGGCCAAGAAAGTGAGTACAACCTCGTAGGCTAGCCTTTTCTTCTTGTGCTGTGTTAATTTCATCCTAAATTAAAATTTCTAATTTGAATATTAGTTTGATTCGTCGACATCTAAAATTTCGTGTGTCAAAATAATTGTTGGCAGGAGCAACACCAAAGCTTGTGCTTCAGATGATGAATGTGAGGGGGCTCAGCATTGCTCATGTCAAAAGCCATTTGCAGGTAAAACTAAAGCAGATTAGGATGAAAAAAACCAGCCTACTTCTCATGAGTCATGACTACTTACTTAGCAGTTAGCAGAAGCTGTGTACATGCTGGTTTTGTTTCTTTTCATCTTCACACAGAAGATTTCCTGTGCCTAAACTTTTTCCTTCTTCATTCTTGTCCACTTTTTTCAGATGTACAGAAGCAAAAAGCTAGACCACGAGTCTGGCCACGAGAGAGGAGCCATCTCATCAGGTTCTTGTCTCAATCTCAATTATCTCCCTTAAATTTTTAATTCATTGCTCTCCTCCACAGGACTAGCATGCATACAGAGAGTAAGCCATGGAATCCATTTTCTTAAGCTTTGTTAGCTGCTTGAATTTTTTTTTTCAGTGTTTTCGCCCATGGAGTTCCACATGAGGAGAGGGGACCATCGTTTCCACCACCACGACATGTTCTTCCAGCGAGCCGCCGCCGCTGGCGTCTCGCCGTTCTCCTCCAGGATGCTGCACGAGAACGGCGGCGGGTTCTTCGCTTCGAGGAATCCCGGCTTGCCGGAGTCCAGCCGGCTCTACGGTCTCTTCCAACGCCGGCAGCAAGCTCCCATGCAAAAATTCGACTTCAAGAACTGCAATAGCTTCAGGTAATTAACCAAAGCGAAATAAAGGACAAGCCCGATCGATCGATCAGCTAGTAGTAGTAGCGATGGTGGTGGTGATGCTGCGAGATCATGTCGAAACCCTAATCGGTGTCTCGTTTGCACGCGTAGTAGGAACCAGGAGTGGGCGTTCAACCAGCAGCACGCGGCGGCGAGGGCCGCCGGCGCCGTCAACGGCCACGGCCCGGCGAAAGGGCTCATCCACGAGATGATCTTCCGGAAGGAAGGAAAGCCGACGTCGCATCTGTTCGACGTGAGGGACGCCATCGCCTCCACCCGGGTGACCTCGGCGACCACGGCCGCCGCCGCCGACCACCGGCTAGACGGCGCCGGGAAGGCCGGCAACTTTGATTGGATCGGGAGCAGCTCCTCCCGGCCGCTCACGAGGACAATGTCAGCGGCGGCGGCGGCTACCATGGGCGACCACCACCATCTTCGGTGGCGAGGCGGCGCCGCCGGCAGCGGGAACACGACGGCGTCGTCGGATCCGGTGGTCGCAAGCGAAGCTGCCCTAGGTTCCCTGCTCGAGGTACGCTTACGCACGTGATGACCACTGTCACACTGACACGTTCAGTTCGTCACACCAACTCACAACAATGGCGTTGTGTACGCTGCAGAGGGCAAAGACGAAAGCGACCGAGGCGATGCGCCTCGAGACGCCGGTGAAGATGACGGCGGCGGCGGTGGCGGCGGAGGAGATCAACGGCAGGACGCCGGACTTGCAGCTGAGTTTGAGCCCGAACGCGGGAGATCACAGATCAGCCGGCGAGAAGAGGAAGTTCTTGAGTGAGCAGGAGGTGGACAGTGACAAGCAGCAGCTGCCACTCACGCTTTCCCTGTCGCTCCGGGGTGGTGGCGACAATGGCGGCGGCGGCGGCGCAGAAGCCGCCGGGAGGTTAGAGGAAGAGATGACAGGTAGCAGCAGTAGCAAGAAGGCCGCTCTGGGGCTGAGTACTTTGGATCTGACCATGTCGATCAAGGCATTGGAGTGAGATCTTTCAAGTACTTGTCCCAAGGCCTTCCAAGACATGCACACTGCACCATGAGATTAATTATTAATAAGACTGTTAATTTTGTTTAACCATGCTTCCAGACCATATATAATACATATATATCTTATGTTCAGAGTGACATGCATTAGCTGGGTGTGGGACTGGTTCTAGCTAACTTTCTATTCATATGGTCACATGCATGATCAGACCCATTTTTTGTCTTGGTATCATTGGGAAGTATATCTTATTATATGAAATGCAAATTTAAAATCCACATTAGTAGTAAGTCTGTTAATCATGCAAATTATCTGTCTGATACTTTTTATACTGTGAGCATGTTGGTCATAATCAATATTTTAGTTAATTTGCATAATTTCTTGAGTTCTCATATAAACAGGTTTATTTTTCTTTCTGCAAACGAAAAGGAAAAAAAAACAAATATAAACATGAAGAATGTACATTTTACATAGCTTATTTCATGAGCACTGATGTCTATAGGAAGCCATCCCAAATTCACATGTGCACCTTTTCTTTTTATGTGTCAACATAATGTATTATGTAGGTCCATATTATTTCATCATTTATTTTTCTAAAGTTATAATCTACCCAATATATTGCTCAATAACAGTATTGAAGTTTTTTTAAAAATAAAAAAGTTAACAGAACGAGCGTCAGTTGTCCGTATAGCAGTTATAGTTAGTATATTGTTTCCTCCCACAATTTAGTCCTCTTTTGGAAACGTTATACTAGTTTGAAACGAATTAATTAGTAGTTCAATTCCTTTGTTTCAAAGGAAGCGTTATGCTTATACAAAAATGAATGGCAATCGTCAGAGTTTAATTAATTAAATAGGATTAATTTGTAGTATGAACTAACTAAAAATTAAACTGCAATAGTAATTGCATTTTCAGTTACTAACATATTAACACATGGTCGTTGGACATCAATGTGAATCATATATAGATAAATTTTCATGTGGCCAGATTCTAACTAAAATTGCCCAAATTTACAGAAACATCTGATTTAGGATACAGTGTTTGAAGATATAATGTCACATTACTTCAGTAAGTTTAATACCTTGATATATAAATGTAACTTAATAAAGCCATAGTCATGCACGTTATTAGTTTGCAGATTTTATTTTCCAGGCGTAGATATAACTAAGCCTACAATGAGCATGTACAACAATTAAAATTCGTATATTTGCATTGTCTTCTAAACAATATATGAATAATTTTTCAAACGGTCATATATATGTAGTAGATAATTTGCATATGTGGATATTATATATTAAAATGAATATAACCATGACAACTTAACCTAATAAAATAAATTCATTTATATCATTATACGTAAGCTTGCATTATTTGGCTAAATGTTTCACAACACGGGGTAATATATGGTGGTGTTTGAAACTCATGCAGATGAAGATGAAGATTAAATATTTTACGCAAAATGAGGTGGTATTAACATATGATTAATTGAGTTTTAATTATTATAAACTTGAAAAATATATTTATCTAATATTTTAGAAAGTTTTCGCACGGACTGCACCATTTAGCACTTTGAAAAGCGTGCCATGAATATCCAAATTTTCATTCAACTTTTGTTGGAGAAAAGAATGGGCCTATATGTAGTTTTTACTATTAATTACCATTTGCTCGCACTTGTTTGTGGCAGTACATTAGCATCAATCATAGCAAATATATTACTTTTATGTGCAAAAAAAAAACCATTTATCCTTCATAACAATTAATACAGGGTACTTTAAAATCATATTTGGTATCAATATTGTATTACTGAAGAGATATCATGAATGAAATAGTTAGCTAGCTAGAGATAGCTATAGCTATACTATCATTGGTTTGTCCTGTAAGTTTATAGGTTTTGAACAAAAGATGCATGCATGATAAGATTTTCCCAATCAGGCGCTAAGCATGCACTTCTTTCCTGCCCGAGTAGCTAGCTAGTGTTCAGCTGGTAAACACACTATAGATTAGCTTAGAGAAAACTATACTAAAGGTCTTTGTCAAATGATTAGAGATAGATTAGTATTCCCTATTATATGTAGCCAAGTTAGTCAACACAATTACTATAGACAAGATCAAAAAAATTGTGCAACAGCGTGATTTTTATGGTGATTAAGGACATGGATGGCACCATTATATTCAACTTCAGGGCCTTCTCTATGCCCTCATTATATTCAATCAGTGAATAACTCCATTACTTTTCAAAACTGCATTACTTTCTAAGTTGAACGTGTTGTTTTGAATCTTGATACTTTCTATACTACTTCCTCCATTTCACAATGTAAAACTTTCTAGCATTGCTTATATTCATATAAATGTTAATGAATCTAGACATTTATATGTGTATAGATTCATTAACTTCTAAATGAATATGAGCAATACTAGAAAGTCTTACAATCTAAAACGGAGGGAGTATATTATATAGGAAAAGGTACCCGTAAACTTTGATTGAAAGTCTATCTAGAATCCTAAACTTTGGAACAGGACATATAGCCCACTGAACTTTATAACATATTGTTCATATAACCCCAAACTGAATAAAATTTTCCAAAAGAAAAGGGAGAAAACTGTACAAAAGGAAGGTCTGCAAGACATGGAAGAAGAAGTTACAAAAGCTGCAGAGGCAGCGAAAATAAAGATATCATTCTTTATTGTGTGTTTTTTCTATTAATTAATGGCGAAAATATCATTCTTTGACGAAATGGAGAAGTGTGGGGACCTTATAAATTATTTCTCAAGTTCAGAAACCTATTGCATGGCACATCGTAACCGCATAGCTGTGGCCTTACTTTCTACACATGTTATTTGTCTTAGCTTTACTTGGTCTGGTCATACTTGCATGAATATAAGTCAAGTGTTCATGCATTCAACCCGACCCCCAACCCCTCTCTTTTGATATATATTCCTTTTTTTTTTGAATTATCCCCATAAAGGGAGTAGTAGCTAGCTGAAGCTCTTCATTCTGTCATTGACCGATGATCAGTTCAGGAAAACCACACACGTTGCAAAATACTACCAAACCAATTCCAATCCCCTTCGAAAACAGTAGAAAAGGAAATAGAAACTGCATAAACTGAAGAGATCAATCAAGCTGCTATATATTATAGGCTAGGGCACTGGTCAGCACGCGCAGGCGTCAATTTCGACGACCTTCTTTGCAATGGCATGCTGCTACTCGCCTACCCTATTTCCCCTTGATTTGAGGATTGGTAACAGTAGTAAGCACTGTTCCCCCATCCACTGACCTGTCACCTGCGATCCCTCCTCCAGAATAACACAAAAAATGGAGGCCACTGTTACGGCTGTGAGAGGCTACTGTGGCGACTGTGAGCAATCAGGAGTAGCCTCCTGTTTGAAGAATGTACATGAAAGTTTTCAACCATGCATGCAATATCCAGATTAAAATCGAACACACACAGGCCGGGCTGGACTTTTCAGCAGCTTGTGTGTGTAGGTCAGGCGAGAGTAGCAGTCGGTACAGTAGCAGCCAGCTAGTAGCAGAGACTTGCATGCATTGCTAGTAGTAGTACTGGTACTAGAGAATTTGGAGTGATCCGATGCAAGCTCGAGATGTCGACGAGGGGACACACTGTGGAGCATTAACCACCGGAGGGCCGGTGCAGCAGCCGAGAGGTGACACCCCTGATCTGACCAATGCATTGCAGGGGCCATACTGTATGTGTGTGCATGCAGCTAGCTGCTAGCGACGACGCTGCTCGCAACGGCAGGTTGCCGTACGTCCGTGTCACCGCTAGCCGCTGAGAAACCTTGACCCTTTCCCCTTGCTGTCATTGTTGTTGCTGATCGATCCAGCGAGCTGGGACACCCTCGCTCGCACATAGGAGTACAATATGCATGCATCGCGATGCAGTGACATGGGCTGCTGCTTCCGAATTAATTTCGGTTTCTTGTCAGCTTACGAGGGTCGCGCGCATGCAGCGGATCGGACGGCGCGGTGCGCGCGAGCTGCTCGATCTGCTACGACATGCGCGCAGGCCGGCCGGTGGTCTGGCACCATGCCAGAGATGATCGATGGATCAATAATTCTAAGGCTATTCACTGTGCGTATATGTAGTGTGTGGCAATCCCTGTCCATGTTGATAAAATGCATGTGTGGAGGAGAAATGTTCGTGCATCCTTCTTGGGCTGCGAGAGCCTCGTCAGTAAGAAAACAACTTTTCTCATAAAAAAGGAATCGCATCCACATCGATGGTGAGAAAGCCGGAGAGAGAGTGTGGAGAGGGGAAGCTCACTGGAGAAACTGCATCCGCGTCGAGTCCGAGCTCCCACCGTCCCATCCGGCGGTGCCAGCGCCAGCCGACGGCTCCTATTCCATCATTCTCCCACCCGCCATCGCCAGATTTGTTGGGGAGAGAGGATGAGAGAGGCGCCGTTGGTGGGGGAGAGAGCGGCGCTGACAGTGGGGAGGGAGAGCCACGACAGCGGTGGGGTGAGCGACTGCGCGCCAGATCCACGCTGCCGGAGAGTGTAGGATTGAACAACAAGAACTAAGCCAACCAGGGTGGTGAATGGTTGTAGTACTTAAAAACCAAAACTTTTAGTGGAATTAAAATATACCCTTGAATCGATGTCAATCGGTCTAACCGAAATAGATCTGCTGGTCTGGCTGTGCCTATGCCGCCGGTCTGACCAGTATAGATTGCCCATTCTAACCTTGCCGAAATTGCCTCTTCCTCTTATCACCGCCGCCGGTCTGACCGGTGCGAACCCGTCGGTCTGACCGTCGGTGACTCGTCAGTTGGACTGTCGAACCCGAGCAAATACAAATCAAAGAACTCTCAAAATAGATGACAACTTTATTACTTCTCTCTGTGTTTACAAAGTGCAACAATAGCACTCCTCATGAAAATCTCAACTAAACTCGAAACTCTAACTTTTCTCTCAACTCAATGCTTTCTAAAACGATATCGGGAGGCCACACCCTCTCTCTCTATTTATACATGAGGTAGACAGCCTAAAGCCACAAACAAAACTCATACAAGAAGTTATAATCCCTCTAGGAAACCTTCCCGTACAAGAAACCAACTTTACAAACTCCAATTACCAAATTTGGACTCCTTCCAAATTTGACTCCGCGTCTCATATGCACATAATATCTCCATCGTATGCCATACGGAATCTTCACCAACCACGTGCATTCATCTTTAGCCTAAGTGTCCCACATGATATCTAACCGTCCGGACGTCACCTTATCTCCAAGTTGACTTCCGATCCATCACCGG